GACATGGAATCAATCAAGGTGACAATAAACAAATAATAAGAAAATATTATATATTTTATATATTTTATTATATTTATAATAATATTAATTCTTTACATCTTTGCATGAATCATGACTTTTTCAAATGTCCTCTATATTAGCCTCATTAGATGTAGTGCACCTGTCCCAGGGTATCATAGTCCATACCAATAGCATCGTGTTTATCGTGTTTTGAACACCAGACAGTCCCTGACATAGACTAAGCCTTCAATAAACACTCAGTTAATTATAAAACTTATAGTATAGAGAAGTTAAGAGTAAATTAGATGGTAATCAATCTTATGTAAGCAGAAAAATCACAATTTTTCCACACCATTGTTTGGCAAGATATGGAGAACCTCATTGACCATAGTTTGTATTTTTATTTAATGAGAGAAGGAACATTTATGTTTATAATCCTGCATCACTTTTATCATCATTTCCAGCACAGAAGTGACATGATAATTATAATCATAGTTAAAATTGGAGGAGTGGCTACATTTTTATGAGTAAATTATTAGGTACATTATTATATGTCACCTGGCAAGGACTTTTAGCTGCCAATCAATATCCCTTTCTCCTTATTAAAAGAAACCAGTTTTCTTGAATGTATCAACATGACCAGCTTTATTTGTTTCCAAATGACAGCACAGTACATTTTTTTGAGATTTAAATTTAAGTATTTGCTTTTTGGTGAAACTTTTATGAATACTCTTTAAGTTGGATGGAAAGGGTACAGATTCTGTACCTTTTGCTGTCTCTTTTGTTTCTTCTTTTCTCTGTCCTGGAATATGTACTTGATAGTTGGAGATGAATATATCTTTCAGTGAAGAAGTAAAAGCTAAGAGACTCCTTTAGTTCTGAAAAACATTTAAGGTACAAAATCACAACTTCTTATTTTCAACCTTTTTATTCCAAAGGGGGAGGGGTAATAAAAGCTCTTCATATCAAGTTATTGGCTTTGAGTGTGGGGGTGAAGGGTAGAGAATATGTGACCAGTAGCTAAATTCACATCTCTAATACAATCTATTTAATGCACTAACATGCACTCATTAATAAAGCTGATTTATATTCACATTCACTGAAACGGAAATGTGCCTGTGACAAACTTGTATTAAAACATGGGTGAAACCCCTGATATTGAACATTTTTCTTTTTGGTCTTTCTTGTTCTTTCATTTTTTGTACAATTTTATATGCATGGATAGTAGGTAGATTAATTGCTTAATTGATAAATAGGTCTGGAAAGTAGGTGATCACTTTGATCAATATTAGTTGTATTTTTTGGTTTTATTGACTTGCTGCAGTATTTTTCAGTCAGAGCATGAAAAATCCTTATGATCAGAGTGAGAACTCTGTTCCAGGAGCATCTATGATTATTAGATCTGGAATCCTGCCCCTTCGTCCACCTATCCTGGATGTTGGCAGTAGCTCTGAGGAGTGGAGATGGGTTATGCCAAGGTTGTCCATAGGAATCGTGTTTGGTTTTTAGCGCCACTTGATATCAGTTGCTTCTCTCCCCCAAAGGCCTCTTTTGTTATCAAACTCTTTATGAAACCAACAATGAGGAACCAGTGATACTCTGGCTCCGAGATGGAAACAGGGTTATTAAAGATAAGGTAACCACAGGTACTAATCTATGTAGGATATTACTGAGCTTTCACTTGTACATGCATAATTATCAGTAGTCCCCCTTTTCACTTTCAAACATGTCTATTGTGGACAATGAATGGCCTGATCACTCTCATTAGGGTGGACCCCAATGTTCAATAAGAACTCAGCTGGAAAAACTGATATATCTCCAAGTGCTAGAATTAAATTTGTCCCTCCATGACATTCAGGATGAATAGAGACACATTTTTCCATGGGGCCTTCCAATGACTAGAAAAGGGTCTGTCTTTCTGTGAAATATACTCTCAGTTGGTGTTTCAGTTGGCTGCTATAACAAAATATCCTCAGACTATGTAATTCATAAACATTAGACATTTGTTTTCTCACAGTTTGGAGGGCTGGGCAGTCCAAAATAAAGACATCAGCAGGTTTAGGGTCTTAGGAGAATTTGGTCTCTGCTTTCTAGGTAGCATCTTGTTCCTGGGTCCTCCAAAGATGAATGCCGTTTTATCACATGTGGAAGAATGCAGACACAAAGAGGGGGTGCAAGAGCCTATTTAGGTCCCTCCAGATTTTTTATAAGGGTACTATCTCATTCATAAGGGCTCTGCCTTCATTACTTAACCAACTCCTAAAGATCTCAATTTGTCGTGCCCTCACATTATTGTTTATGTTTCAACCTATGAATTTTGGAGGGTCAAATACTTTCAAATCATAGCAGCTGGATACTGAAAAGTGGTTACCAAGTGTCTTTGTTTTTGGTATAAATGATGGGAAAGCTAGGAATTCTATCCATCTCCCTCTCTCACCTATGCATGAATATATGTCAATTTTAGGCTAATATAAGAGAAAGTCTTCTGGAACTATTTTTTCTTTTCTAGTAATAAAAGAAGCAAATCATGTGGTAATTTGTTTTCATTGTATTGTTTCTTGTCCTGTTCCTGGCTCCTGAATGCAGCCTCGATGTCTGGAGCTATAGAAGTCATTTTATGACAATGAGGGTGGACAGACACACAAAATAAAAATGCTATCCTGAATATGGTGGAGAAGAAATCAAACAAAGGTCTTCTTAGAGACATTCATTACTACTGTTTCAAATGTAGAAATCGCTAATTCCAAGCCATCTTCTATATAAAATATAAATTAATTTAACATTTTGTGTTGATAAACCATTTTTACTTGGGTGACTTGTTACTTGCCATGAAATTAAAAAAAAAAAGTAGATTAGGAAATGAATCTCCTAGGACATATCTGGGGTGTATGTAAAGTTAGGTTTCAAATATTTTAACAACTCCACTTAAAAGAAATAGGTAGGATGCCTCCAAAATTATTTACTCTATAACTTGGCTTATTTTCTGTAATCTTAAGATAAAGCTGTCTGTTTTTGTTTCTCTAAATCTTCTTTAATGCAGCTTTAAACTATCCAGGGAACAGTCACACTGACAGCGAGGGACATCTGGGCTACACACTATCAATTTTAGAAATGGATGAAATAGAAAGAGAAATTTAATTGGCCAAACGGAGACCCATAAGTAATCAGTAGAGAGTGAAGCAAAGAATACCTGGCTAAAGAAACAAATGTATTATAATTAGGCCAATTATCCTCCATGTAGTTCATCAGCTTGTAGTGATAAAGGCTGTTAATGAGCTTTGTCAGTGACAGCATTACTTTCTAATCTTAATCCTTTTTAGGGTTATTAGCTTTAATGCTACTTGCACCCAGATAAGTTAATTTATACTAAAATTAAATTGAAAAATACCAAGTAATGATTGCTGCATTTGAGCAGTAACTTCTAAAGTTTCTCTCTTGCTGACAAAACTTGGAGGACAATGCTATAATCCCTAAGGCCTTTGAGCAGGTGGAGGAGACTCAGAGTAAAACACAGTCACCATTTAAAGGAATCACACATATACTTGCAGACTGACACTCAGTTTATAGTAGTCATTTTTTTTTTTTTTTAGTTTTTAATGGACCTTTATTTTATTTATTTATATGTGGTGCTGAGAATCAAAACCAGTGCCTCATGCATGCTAGGCAAGTGCTCTACCACTGAGCCTCAATCCCATTCCTATAGTAGACATTTTTTTAACAAAGTGGTCAATGACTGTTTTATTTACTTTTTAAGTATCGGCACACTGCATTCTATATGCCAAAGTTCTCCCAAAAGTCAGCTTTTCAAGAAGACTCACTAAGTAACAATTGCGACTCACAGTACTTAGAAATCTGCACATATTTGTCAACAGAATCTTGAAGATGACCTGTCTTGGCCTTATTTAACCACTTCTTTCCCTGAGCTTCAGAACAGAGATTGATTAGAGCAATGATTTTTTGAAGTTCCTGTAAGAATGGAGCATAACTGGCACCAGTCCCCAGGCCTAGGGGATAGTTCATTCTTCATTCATAGCTGATGGTTAAGGGTGTTAAAGAATAGTCCTCCCAAGAACTGCAGTTATGAAAGTTTGTTAGAGATTGGGAGTATTCTTAGAAAAACATTTATCTTATTCTCTACCTGGTTATTTATTTATTCATCAATAAAAATTTTTCTATCTAGTTCTAATACACTCATACCTACATTTATGAGTGAATGTCAAAATCTATCATAGGTTTTCCTGTGTCTATTGAGATGGTCCCATGCTTTTTCTTCTTTATGTTCTGCAATGCATTGGCTCACTTTTAAACATTTATGGAGATAGAGTTTACAGATTAAATACTTGGCATTTTTACAGCCTATCATTTGATGAGATGGAACATATGTGCAAACCTGTGAGACCATCATCACTACAATCATAATGATGAGCACATCTGCGTGGGCTCTCTCTCACCCAGCCAGGAGGTCCACGGAACAGGGTAGAAGAGAGTGTGGCTGCGGAGTCACTGTTCAAGACCTCCGGAGACCAAGAGGAAGCAGGTCTGATTTTATTGTGCAGTTACCATGTATATAGACTCAGGCAGTAGCTAAGCAGATTACAAGCAGCCACCAATACAATTTCTGGCCAACTGTCCTTGCAGGGACCAATTGAGGAATGGGCCGTGGAGCAAGCACAGGGACTACAACACATGGCCTCACGCCCAGAGCTGTACCCATGGGGTAAGTGGCCTGCTGCTCACGTGCCTAGCACGATGGGAGTGGGCTGCCACTCAGACGCCCTTAATATATGCCATGTATGCAGTACTTCATGCACTTGTCCCCACACACATCTATCACCCCAAAGGTTCACTGTAGCCCTTTGTCATTTATCCTTTTCATCATAATGAGTGGAGACACAGTAGATGATTTTGAAACACATCCCTTGAGAACTGCTCAAATAAAAGGGAAATAAAGGTCCTATACTAGATTTAAGCCACGTTACTAAATATAATTATCATACAAATTATCATAAAACAGCAGAATTTATTTTTTTCAAGTGTACATATCATTAAAAAATTAACAATATACTGAGCCATAAAGCAAGTTTCAACAAATGTCACATAATTGAAATAACACAGAGCTGGGCAAAGTGGCACACACTTGTAATCCAGTTTCTCAGGAGGCTGAGGCAGGAGGATCCCAGGTTCAAAGCCAGCCAAGGCAACTCAGTGAGACCCTGACTCCAAATGAAATTTTAAAATGGGCTGGGGATGTGGCTCAGTAGTAGACACCATGTTAAGGTCTTGAGTTTGATCCTCTGTACCACAAAAAAGAAAAAAAGAAAAAAACCAATGAAGAATGCTGAAATATTTTCCTACAAAAATGAAACTGTTAGAAATTCATAAGAAATAGAAAAAATAAGCATTCATAAATAACAGAATTAATTACTAATTTCTGAACAATTCATGGTTACAAATTTAACTAAAATGAAATTTAAATAATATTCTGAACATTAAATTTAGCGAGGGAAAATATTATATATGAAAATTTTGAAAACTAGCTAAAGATGTTCTTAGCCTTAGATGTATGTGTTAGAGGAAGAAAGTAAAAACTCAATCATCTGAAGTAGCTAAATATAGAATAATAATCCAAATTAAAATACTTTAAATATTTATATAATATTCTATATATGTCCTCACTGTAAAATACCATTGAAGCCAAATGATTGTTCTTTAAAAGACTACTAAAAATCATGAATTCTTGAAGAAATAAATGTTTTTAAAGTAGCTGATACCAGAGAAGAATTGAAGCAAAATTATAGCTTATAATGATATTAAAAAAGATATATATATGTGTATATATATATATATACACACACACACATATATATATATATTGCAAAACAGAAATATGTTTGAAACTTCACATTAAAATCACAGATACTAAAAACTGATGCAAGAAGAAATAAAGCCTAAGCTTTTTCTATAATTATTTAATGATTCTACAACTCAAGCATTCCAACACAGACAACTCTATGACTGGCTGACTTCAGTGATCAATTCTACCAAGTAGTTACATGAAGTTTCTCAGGAGATTCTATGTGGACAGTAAAACTGATACTCATCCCCTGCAAGGATACAGGAAAGAAGGGAAACATGGATCAACTTCTCTCATGAATATAGATATAAAGTAAAATGAGCATTTGAGACAATTTATCAGCAATTTAGGATTAAAATTATTCTCAGTAATCTAGAAATTAAAAAATACAACCCTTAAACTGATAATGGGAATATATGAACATTTTAGAAAATATTTCTTCTAATGACCTGTTCATTACTACACTGGAGACCTATGTCATAATATTGAGTCAAGAAGACTAATTAAAAGATAAGCAAATTGAAAACAAAGAAAGATCATCATTAACAGTAAAGATTCTTTGTTTTTACCTGGAAGGTAAAAACATCTCTATAGATATATTGTCTTAACAAACAACTACATTTGACAATTTTATGATAATCTATGACAATACATAATTACCAACTATATTATACTGAAATATGTATAAAATATACATTCAATATAGCATAAAATAATCATATGCCTAGAAGCATATTTAAAAAAATATATGTAAGACTCCTACACACACACACACACACACACACAATTATAATGAAATAAGTTACAGGTTTAAATTAATGATAAATGTAATAATCTATGCTTATAATCCAGAGGATTCAATATGTTGAAAATGCCAGTTATCCTCAAATTCACTTATAGCTCAAACCCATCTAGGTAATATATTGCAAAAATTAGGTCCTGAAAAAAATTGCCTCCACAATATAGTGACATAAAATATACTAGCCTGTATAACAACTCATCATTCTATGAGCTAGAGTTTACCCACTGTTTATACCTGCTCGCATATTTTACCAAAGTTTAGCATGTCTCATTTTATGTTTTATCCCTTCTTCATAAAACATCACACTATATCAATTGCTATACATTTTCCTATATATTAGTTGCCTGTTCATCTGAGCTTATCTCCATCAAACTTGTGCAGTCAGGCAGCTGTGCTTTCGGGAGTTGGCTGACTATGGGTTGGACCGTCTTGGTTCTGTTACTGTATCCCTCCCATAAAACAGTCTGACAGTGCTTTCATGGAAAAAAGTGGTCAGGAGACAGAGTATGAAATATGAATGAAATATGAAGTCTGAAAGCCATTCTGGGGTCTAGACTTGGCCTGAAACAGGATCACTTAGATGACAGACACAACATTACCTCTGTTACATCCTATTGACCATGCAAGTTACAAATTTAATTCAAACCCAAGGGAATAGAAACAAATTATATTTCTTGAGAAAAAGAACTGCAAAACATATTGCATAGGGTAGATTTATGGTGATCACTAAGTAGGTCTAGCAAACTAATCAATCTAACACAAAACCCCATCAAAATCTCAGCAGTTTTCTTTCAGTATGAATGGACAAGCTTATTGACAAGCTTATGTATGTGTAAAATTAAAGAGTTGTACACTTACTGACACTTTTACTGTAACTGAATAATACCACAACACATTCACAAACAGAAATGCACTGGACTTGGAAAGCTATTGAAGTATTGAATTTTAACAGAAGAAATTAGTTTTAAGACATACTATACATTAAAAGAATAACTTTATAGTAATTAATACAGGGTGATATCTGAAGATGAAGGGATAAACTGGAAAATGAGACATGATAAAGTTTAGTAATAGATACATACCTGTGTCAACTTTTGGTTTATCATACAGTTGACAAATGGAACAGGAGGAAAAGACAGTCATCACCAAATTGCATTGGATCGTTTGGAGATGTATGTAGAAAAATAATGCAGCACACATTATCATGAGTCATATGTTATTGGTCCATACAAAAATCATTTCTGATAAAAAATTTTCATCTGAATGTGAAATATAAAACAATACATCTTCAAATAGTTACCATTGACAAATATACTCATTATCAAGGGAGGGACAGAAGAAACCATTTTAAACTAGAGGCAAATGTCACCAGCTATGGAGAAAAGTTTGTGAAATAAATGTAAAGATAATTAGAAACTTCTGTTTTACAGTATAGGACACAAAAATTCAAAATTTCAGTCTGGAGAAGATATTGGTAATATACAGAAATACCCAAGGAATAGTATTCAATATATATTTAAAAGTCAATAAGTTAATAAGAATATATATATATATATATATATATATATATATATATATATGAAGAGATGGACAAAGAAAATGAAGGAATGGTCAATAAATATATGAATGGTCAATAAATTTATGAAAATGTGTTGAACATCATTGGTCTCCAGGGAATTACAAGAAACCCAGGTCAGATATAGAAGCTCATGGCAGGACAACACTATTACTATATAACTAGGAAAGATACCTAAGGAAATTGCAAAATTAATCATTTAAAGGCATTATAGAACTATAAATGCAATGTGAATTGGAAATAATAATTCTGTAGAATAAAGAAACCCTTCTGAGGGAAAGTACAAATCTCCAACTTTAAAAATATCTTCTCTGGGGCATCTGCACATCCATGTTTTTTTGCAGCACTATTTACAATAGCCAAGGAACATAACCCACCTAAGTGTCATCAACTGATAAATGGATGGGGAAAATGTGGTACGCATACACAATGCAATTCTGTTGAGCCATAAAAAAGGATGAAGTTCTGTCCACTGAGGCAACATGGATGGAATTGGAGCCCATTAAGTGAAATAAACTCAGACACAGAAAAGTAAATACTGCATGATCTCACTGATATGTGAAATCTATAAAAAATTGATCTCATGGAAGGTGATCATTGAATGAGAGAGGCTGGGGAACTAGGGGAACAGAAGGATGAGAAAATTTGACTAATGGGTATTAAGTCACAAAAGCAAAAAGTTCTGGTGTCCTATTGTACAATAGGATGATTATAGGTGACAACAATGTACGGTACATTTCAATAAGGTCAAAGAAAGGATTTCGAAAGCTTTCACCACAAGGAAATGAAAAATATTTGGGGAGATAAATATGCTTAACCTGATTTAAGCATTATGCAATGTTTGTATGCATCAAATGTTACAATAGTGTTATTCCATCAGTAGATACAGTGTTATGTTGTTATGTATGTTAACAATGTTTTAAAAATAAAAAAAATGATAATTGTTCAATTACATGTTATATAGTTCTGTTACATATATCAAAATTAGGACTTAAAATGAAGTCATGTAATTTTGGAAGATTCTCATCTTCTATAAATGTATTTGTTAATTTCAAAGCCGCTCATTCCTTCTTTATACATTTCATAGTATATAATCTTTAAATGGTCATATTAATATGATCAAATGGAATATTCAATAGCTAATAAATTCAGTATCTGCTATGCTTATGTATCTGATTTCACCATCTTATTTTACCATAATCTCATTTCAGAGTGGATTGTTTCTTCATATATTTGATATTTTTATTTGTTATTTTGTTGTTACTTTTCTGATATCACTCTTATATAAATCTTTCCACCTTAGGGTTAAGTTATGTTTTTCCTGAGAGTATTTTTAGTTTTTCCCTTTAATTAAACTTTTTCTTTGAGAAGGCTTTCATTGAATAGGTGTTTAAATTTGATCTTAACCTTCATAAGCTCAGTCTTTTGTTTGGTAATTCTCAAAGTAGTTTTGTATATGATTGCTTGTGAGTGCATATGTGCATGTGTGTATATGTACAACTACAAACATGCACACAGGGGAAACACACACACACACACACACATAAACACACTTTTTTTTCTTACTTTCCCCTCTGTCCAAAGTCAAAGATGGCTCTTGTCCATGTCCCTCTGTGTTATTTTTTCCTTCAGTTCACTGCAGGTGTTGGCCTTCATAAATGCAGACTTAACATTGGGGTCTTGTATCAAATCCATGTGATTGCATGAGGCTTATCTCCAGTCTACCATAAAAGCACAGATTAAAATTTCACCAGGAGGCCATCAGAGAAAGTTAGACACTCCAGGAACTATGCCACAATCAGTTCTCAGTACGATTCTAAATTTGCCATATATTTAGATTTGGTGCTTTTCCCTCAACGAGGCAGAGAATCTGGGACTTTAAAACAACCATATGTTCTTTATCTATTTTGGGTTGCATTTCCATCTCTACCCATTGAAGATTATCTTATTTCACACTAGATCTTGCGTTTTAACCAGAGATTTTTATGTATCCTGGATCAAGATGTTGTCTCTGGTCATCTAGGCCACCATATTACTAGAACTGAAAATCCGGTTTTGTTGCTTTAAAAGTCATAGTTGTCAAAACCAGAATCTAACATATAATTTAAAAATACAGGAAAAAAACCCACAACAACTTCTATTTCTGAGTTCTGCACACTCCCTTCACACAAACATAAACTATAGTTTAAATGAGTACTTAATTATACACTGGTAACACTGCTAGAGAACTTGGCAGACATTCTACTTTTAGAAGCACTCCACATAGATTTATATATCACATTTTGCATAATGAAGACTTCTTCCCCACCTCTTTGTAAAGCAAAGTAATAATAATGATAATAATAAGCTTCTTAAAAGAAGGATGGGGATATATCAGGAAGGTTTAGTGAGCTGAGAAAGAAACAAGCTAAGGGTGTTGCAAGTTAAAGAGTGGGAGGTAGATACACTTCAGATGCAAAGGTAAAGGACTTAAGATTAAATCAAGAATATATGGTTATTTCAAAGTCCAGATTCTCTGCACAGTTGAGGGTAAAGCAATAAATCTAAGCATGGCTAGGCTGGACAGCCTGTCACCTGGATTGTATCCAGGGAAGTTCCACATATGGCTGGACTCAATTTGTCCTACTAGAAATTAAGATTTCATTTTGAGTCACTGTTTTAGAAATTGAGCACATGGGTGGGTAGTGTTTCCTATTTTATCCTAGGGTTCGAAATGAAATGATCAGAAATGGAGAATTGTCACTCTCTGATCCCCATTTCTGTTTGGTTCCTGTCTGTGAAGCATGTCTACTAGCTTAAGAAAGCCCCCAAGGGTCCTTTCATCAACCCATGATAGGAGTCTGGTTAAATGTACCTCTGTGCTAAAGTATGAGGCAAAATGTCTCTTTACAAAATTATCTCCAATGGAAGGCGTATGCAGCATGAAAAATATTTCATTTCCATCAACTATTGCAGAAGTAACCTCATGTCTGTTCTGAATTTAGCCTTTAAAAGGACTGAGAGAGCTTCTGTCTTGTTTTTTTTTTTCACGTACCTGAGATATACCATTGCCCTGCTGCAGAGATAAAATGTAAAGTCCCTAAGAATTTAGGGATGTACTGGGGGACGACCGGCCTTGAAGGCAACAATCCACGGGACTGAAGCCATTTTATGTCCTCCAAACCCATTGCCAGTTAAACAGTTTCCAGTGATTCCAGTCAACATGGAACAAAGGATTATTAATAGGAACCCTCCCCAATTCCTGACCCATAAAATCATGTGACTTATTATAAATGTTATTTGGAAGTAGAATAAATAATTGAAATACTTCTTAAATAGAACTAACCTCCTTTTTCATAAACACAATTATTTTAGATATTCAACTTTTTCAACAACTAGGTTATTCAGGTGAACTAAAATCCAGAGGTAGAAAATTGAATTTAGACAAAACCAGCTCCCGAGATGAGCAGAATTCAAGCCTCTGCTTCGAATGAGATGATGGCGATGAATTATGAGTACTTGGTTTTCAAAACTAAGGGCCATCACTGAGGAAATCAACCTGCAGAGTCAGTGTCCCCACTATGACGTCCATCCCTGGTGTTTATAGATAGGCAATGTCCTCCTTCTCATGTAACTACATTCTTAATCATGTATCAAGCAGGGATTTGGAGCCAAGGAACTTTGTTTGCAACATCATTGGTTTGTAAGTTATCAAATTCTTTATAAAAACAATTTTTTTTTGTTTGTATTAGTTCCCAATTATCAGGACTTGGGCAAGATGTGGGGCCATCTGTAAAGTAAAGATCAGAAAACACTGTATCACTTTTGATACTATTGCCACTTCAATCAAAATTCCATCAGGAGTCATCTTAGTGATGCTAGAGGTAGGAATCTATAAATGTTTCACCTCTTGATTTGGCTTCCTGCTACTTTGCACCCATAGGGGCAATCAATGGAGACAGAGATGAACTCTTTGGCTGGTTCATGACTATGAGAACACCCAATGAGCAGATTGCTCTTTAATCTGGCAACAGTAATTTGTTCCGGCCATGGTTACATCGGGTTTCCACCTTCTTTCAGTCTCCAACATCCTTCTCAGAGACACCAGCACAAGCCAGAAGTAACTTTTATTTCTCTCATCCTTTCTCTCTCATCTCAGGGTTTTCTTCATGTGCTACTAGTCCTTTAGCTCTCATTTAAACAATTCTCTATATCACTTTTTTTTTTTCTGTTAAATCAACTAGTGTGCTTTCTGTTCCCCAGATTGTACTGTTACACAAAGTTCCACTGTGTCTCCTTCCTACCAGTCTAACTGTAGAAGCATGTACGACTTTTGGACAATCAAGAATATGTGCAATCAAGAATATCCTCTTTCTTTCTCTCCCATCTTCCAGCTAAATTATACAAAGCTGCTATTGAAGCCATGAATGAATATTATATAACCATAGCATGATAGGGGCCTGGTCTCAGACCCCTTTTCTAAAGCATAACACCAAACCTCACTGTTGCTGGCTGTTTGATTCTGGTAAGCAAACACACACATGCTAATTTTTAAAAGTTTATAGCTATTGAGATTTTATACTTTTTATATCAGCAGCCAGCATGGCTTATCCTTATTAATACATAAATATAAAATTATTCTTAGATAATACATAAATATTAAATAATATTAATTAATTATTAGTAAAACAATTAATATTATTTATAAATACTAAGTATTATGGTTATATAAATATGAATAACATTGGTTAATTATATTTATATATAAATATTAATAAATAAGTTGATGCCAAAACTATAGTGTCATTGCAGATTTTTTTTTCCAATATGCAGCATTGGCCCAGCGATTAAGT